TGTGGGCAGTCTCCACCAGCCGAATTAGGACTCAAATTAATGTACAGAGACTTGTATTATGTACAAATGCTGCTTGGCCAGTGACTAGAATTCTCATCTGTTAGCTCAGTCTTATTTATCATAAATCCATATAATTTATAAGACTTATCTTATTGGACACCTTCCATTGGCGTCGCCCCTTGCCAGTGGATCACATCATGCCACTGGAGGAAGAGCAGAGGGGGAAAAAGCCCCACTTCCTGTTTGTCTGACCTTAAATATGAGTCTCCCTGCTATGTTACTTCCTGCCTCGATCACCACTTCTTACTACATTTCCCAGAATCCTCTTCGACACCTAGTCCCATCTAACTTGATGCCTCATTGGCCAAACAGTACTTTATTTATCATCCAGTAAGACAAACACATACACAGAAGCACTTCCCCCATCAAGTTTGTGCGACCATTGCACTAGCATATTTTGCAGACAAGACACCATTTGTGTAAAATGTTTTGTGGCTGGGTTGGTATATACAGTTCTCTTTTGGTAGCTTGTAGTATACTTTCCTGTATCAAAATATGAGAATATAGGTGTGAAGGCTCTATGTAGACACTAGCTTGACTTCTCATGTTCAAGCAATGATTTAAGTGAATCACTAAATAAATCAATAAATCAGCATCTAATAATTGGTCTTTTCTATATTATTCTACTTCAAGACGGGAAACAAAGTAATGGAACACAGGTCTGAACTAGTCAAGTTCAGGTCTGACGAAGAGCTGAGAGGACCACTGGTGAACACAACCCACCCCACAAATTTTGCATGAGAAAGGACATAACTAAATAAGCTAGAGACCCTGCATGGTTAGCCCACAAAGATTTCACTGCACTCACATTGTGACTGAAAATATTGAAGGTGAGGTCACTGAGGTTTGGTTTTTGATGTCACAATAGACTTCTAAGAACTTTGAGCAAGCCAATAGAATTTCTGAGAGCTCACAAGCTCACAAAGCCAGTAAGGAGCTTGGAAGGAGCTGTGAGTGGAGCTCTCTCCTCATTAGCTCTGTTTGTGCAGAGAGCTGCACATTCTTCCACATCACTGGACAGCAGTTCATTGGAAGACAGAATCACTGGTTAGTAGAGGTTTCATGTGTCTTTATTGTATACTGTGATTAATGTGATTAAATATACATATCTGGATTTCTCACTTAATTTTCTAGGTGTATGATTCCATGGCTATAAGTTGATTCACGGGAACACAGTAATGTCACAACTGTGCACCTCTCTTGATTGAATTGTTGTCCTTAATGAAATGCTGTCTCTTGTTTCTCCCTGCCTTTGTGGCTATCAACCAACATTCTGCTTTCTGTCTCAGTGGAGTTGACTTGGCCAGGAACCTCCTTAGTGTAATAACATGGTATTTAATCATTTGTGACTGGTATATTTCACTTAGTGTAATGTTCTCAAACTTTATCCATGTGCCACCCATGTAAGAATTTTCTTTATCTTACTGAAGTCTATAAATAAGAATAATATCCTATCACTTGTACAATTAGCTTCTACTTTACCATGTGGCTCCAAATTGGGTCTGTCTTTTCCCTATAAAGGCTCTTGTGTTAATTCATTGATTCACAGCTGATGGATGGTGCTATATTAAGATGATCTGGATACTTAAGAAGTGTCATTGTGTTGTTAAAAAACAAGGAAAGAGTTAATATGCTCATTAGGAATTATACTTGAATTTTTAATTTAGAACTTTGCCTGTAACATTATTGCTCCTATAGATGACACTCTGTTCTGCAGCTGGGCTACCCATCAAGCCATGCTTGTGTCTTCCTAAGTTACTATTAACTGAATTAGAAACCCACACCCACCCATCAATGCCTGGACAGTTGGAGGAGCTTTCTCTGGGGTCATAGGTGCAGGAGGGCAGTTCCTACCCCCTACCAGTTGCAGCATTCAGAGAGTAGCTCCAATGTGGTATTTCTAATAAAAACTAGAGAGCTCTAAATGGTCTTCACAGACTGAATCAGATATTTTCTCACCATCATTCACCTGAATCCTCACTTTACATTCATCGGCCTTCAAGGTTAGACTACATGTTATGGCTTTGCCATTCAAGACACATCTCATTGCCATTATGACATCATCTCTCCTCATTTATGACACACATAGTTATCCTTTTGGTTGAGTTATGAGGAATATCCTTAAGGAATTTCTGTTCCTATGTGACCTCATCTCTCCACATTTTGCTTACTTTTAGAATGTTTTGATACAACATCTGGCATTGATTATTACTGTGAGATAATCACTAGTAGGTGCCATTTAGGAGTCACACAACAAAGACAATACATGTAATAAAAAGGTTATTATTTTAATGTTTTATTTTTTTGAAATTAAGGTACAAATATATCATTTTTACCTTTCCTATCTTCCTTCCAGCTCATAGTGGGTATTCACGTAATGTTATTTGTATTTGTACATGTATGATTTCAGGGCTGACCACATAGTGTTGGATAACTCATTGGGGAACTCTTCCCTGGGGAAGTGCATTTCTCTCCTCACCATTCCTTAGATACCCATAATTGCTTGTCTAGGGTTGAGGCCTCATGAGATTTCCTCCATGTTATTATATCTATTGGTTTCATCCTTGATAAGATCTTGTTTAGGCAGCCATCTTGATGAGACTTCATGAGTATAGCTTCTCTGACATTTTTAGGAGATCCAGTCTCACAGAAAACTTCCTGTTTCTCGGGCTTTAACAATATCGTGTCCCCTCTTTCATAATGATCCTTGAGTCTTAGGTGTAGTAGTTGTGTTGTAGATGTATCAGTTGGCACTTGGCACCACATGATCTCTTGTTCTCTGCATTTTGATAAGATATGCTTTTCTGTAATGGTTCCCATCTGTTACAAAAAGAAGCTTCTCTGGTGGGGCCTGCAAACTCCATTTAACTGTGGATATAAGAAACGATACTAGAATTTAGTAAGGAATTATGCTGGCTTTAATTTCTCCCCTAAACTCATAACATCATTAGCTCCTAATAGTTGGCTAGGTTTCCAATACCAGGCATGATTTCTCTCTTGTTGAGTGGGCCTTAAATCCACTGTTAGTTGGAGCTGTTAGTTTTTTGCCAAAGTATGAATGTCACTATTGTACTCTCAGGGTTATCATGCCATCCTGGTCATGGTAGTTAATAGGAATCATAGCTGGGTAAAACTACTGATGCTTCCTTCTCTTGGGAGCTTGTATGTTATATTCTTAGACCATGAAAGATAGTCCTCAGGGAGAAAGGTTTTCTGGTCATATACAGCTCAGGTCCTCTGGATACTGTGTCAGAAGTACATTGTGTCTGTAGCAATAGGGACATACCTTCAGGATGAACTGCTCACCCTGGCTGTAGTATTGATGGAGCACTCCACACTACCAGAGAAGCTAGGAAACAAGGAGGACCCTAAGGGAGACATACATGATCCCCCAGAGACAGGGAAAGGGACAAGATCTCCTGAGCAAATTGGGAGCATGAGGGAAGGGAGAGGGAATTAAGAGAAAGAGAAAGGGAGAAGAGGAGGGGAGAGGAGGACAGGGAGAAGGAAGATAGAGTCAGGGGAAAATACAGGAGAAAAAGAAAAGAGATACCATAATAGAAGGAGCCATTATAGGTTTAAAGAGGAATCTGGCATTAGGGAAAGGTCCAGAGATCTATAAGGATGACACCAACTAACAATTTAAGCAATAGTGGAGAGGCTACCTTAAATGCCCTTCCCCAAAGATGAGATTGATGACTACCTTATATGCTATCCTAGAGCCTTTATATAGTAGCTGATGGAAGCAGAAGCAGACACCCACAGCTAAACACTGAGCTGAAATCCCGGAACCCGTTTGCAGAGAGGGAGGAGTGATGAGCAAAAGGGTCAAGACCATGCTGGTGAAACCCACAGAGACAGCTGACCTGAACAAGGGGGAGCTCATGCACCCCAGACTGATAGCTGGGAAACTAGCATAGGATCGATCCAGACAACCTGAATGTGGGTGTCAGTTTGGAGGCCCAGGCCATCTATGGGGCCTCTAGTAGTGGATCAGTATTTATCCCTAGTATAAGAATGGACTTTGGGAGCCCATTCCACATAGAGGGATACTCTGTCAGCCTAGACACACGGGGGAGGGCCTAGGCCCTGCTTCAAAAGATATGACAGACTTTGAAGATACCACATGGAAGGCCTCACCCTCTCTGGGGAGCAGAAGGGGGATGAGATAGGGGCCTGGTGGGGAACAGGGGAGGAAGGGAAGGAGAGGGAACTTGGATTGACATGTAAAACAAGCTTGTTTATAATTTAATTTTTAAAAGGGGAAAAAAGAAAGCATGGTATTAGTATGCTGATGTGATTGCTGTTGCCTCTAATACCAGCAGTTGAAAATGAGAGGCAGCAGCATTGCCTGTAGGTGAATGACAGACTGGGGACATAGTTCTAGGCTAGTCTGGGATACAGAGCCACACAACATTGCAAAACAAACAAAAACGCCAAAATGCCAAAAAAGCAAACTAACAAGTGACAAAAAATGTGCACTAAGCCCCCATATACGACACTCTAAATGTATGATTCCACTTTTATATTTATAATTGACATATAGCTCCATGGTGTGGATATTTTGTAAATTATTCAACTGTCAGACTTGAAAGGTCTTCCTATTTTTAGTATGAAATTTCATGCTGTGATGACAATCTGGATGGCTTCATATTTGGGGCCAAACTTCATTGTGAGTCTTTAAACAGTAGAAGAAGAAACTCTTAGATGCTGTGTGGATTATTAACCTGCTAGTAAGTGTTGCCACAGAGCCAGTCCTTCTGAGTTTGGTCAGAACACACTTCCTGCAGGAGATTTCCTTGTCAAAGGCACACCTGCTCAACTTAATGCTTTTCTCTTCATAGTGCCCCACAGGGGACAGTCTCCCAGGCCTGAAGAGCCCATCCTGATGATGTTCTGTGTTTCTTTGCAGTTGCCAGGTGCTCATTGTCACTGTTGTAATGGTCAGCAGGCGTGGCGGCCGGCAGCTAGGAGGCTTTGCTGCGGCCACACTAGCATGGATCTTTTGCAGCGTTTCCATGAACCTCCCTCAATGGCGAGTGTGGTGTTTCGAAGACCCTGCGGATTCCGAACCCAGCTTGACCTTAGTAGGAATGTGGAGAACCTGCGTGTACTACAAGGAAAACAATTCTAACATTTTAAGAGCGTGTTACCAATATACCTACCAGGACACCTTTGTTCCTTTGGATATTCGTGTTGCTCAACACCTACTACTGATCTCCAGCTGTCTCGGCATGATTTCCTCGGTTTCTGTCGTTGTTATTCTTTGGAAAATTTACTCAGGAAGACTCCAGAAAGTCTCCTACAATCCATTCTTCGTCCCGGGGATTCTGAATATCATTGCTAGCGTCTTAGTCTTCATTTCCACCCTGTATAATTATTTATCCATCATTCGCAAAGATGAGATTGATTTCCCCCCATCTTACGGCATACCCTCCATCCCAGATACCCAGAAAGTTGGCACTGCCCTGGCAATGGCAACTCTTTCTTCATTCTTATTTTTAGTGGGTGGCACAATCTCCATTTCTTTCACTTTTCCCATTCGTTCCCGAATACATTCTTCTATTTGAATAAATTTCCAACTTACATAAACTTGAAAATCCAAAATTACAAGGAGTAATCACAAGTATTCTACAGACAACTACTTAACATTTTAAGATTCAGAATCATGCCCAAGGACAACAGTATTTCATTGAGTGGCTTATGGATTTTCAGTAAATAAATTCTTGCAAATTTATCCTTATGAGTTCTGTGTTTTATTATTATTACTGAAGGTAAATAATCTGGGAATATAATAGATATAGAAATGAGTGTCAGAATACATTGACCCCTTACATCATCTTCTAAATCCCTAAAAATTAACAAACAAAACGAAACAAAAAATAAAAAACCTGCAATAGTGAGCCTGTTTCTCATGTTATGATAATAACAAATCCCCTTCATATGAAATTTCCCCAAATTGTTGAAGTTGAGTGACTGATGTAAGAAATCTCCCCATACAGCATTGAAATTACTACTTTTGACCATTTCACCACATGTCCATGCTCTCTCCTTCAGTTCTTTTAAGTCCAGTTTTCTTTTCTCTAAGTATTTTAAACTCATCCCATCCTTGCATGCCCATATTCTCCCATACTATCCTGTAAAAATGGATCTTTTCTTACTAGCCACATCTTCTATGAAAACAACTATCCCCATTAGTGCAGCCTTGGAAGTTTTCATGCCACTCTCTGTTGGGAATATATGAGCAAAAATCACTTCAGAGAGGGCACCAACAATCACAAAACTATTATGCTTAGGTACAACTTGGTGAACCAGTGAGGTGCCTAATGTTACCTGCAGTAGTATGGGTGAGCGATTACTTTCAGGAGCAGGAACAACTCAAAGACAGATCCATGACACAAAGACCCACTCCAGGGTTGTTCTCTCGTCATTAATTCAGATCAACAGGTTTGATAGTCTCCTCTTCTCTTCTTTTCGTACTGTATATGTAAATGTGGGGGGAAGAAGGGTCCTGAATATGGTAAATTTTAGGGACCTCTTAAGACTTTCGAGTAATTTACTTCCTGGGTCTTCCTTAAAGTGGAACTATTCAACTTAGATTTGTTTCACAGCATTCTCCCCAAAATACATGTTTTTCTTTAAAGTATTTTTATATACAATATACTCAGTCTGCCTCTTAGGTCATACTTGTCAATAGCTTTGTATACAAGTATGTTTTGTGCCATCCCCTCTGCCTCTCATCCACGTATGTTTAACAAAGTGGGTCATTTTTCCCATTAGTAACTAACTACATCTGAGATCTTCAATGAAGACCTGGGTGGATTTCTGTATTTTGCTCTGATTATGGTATGCCAGGTGTCATATGGAGACTATGAGGTCATGAAAAATTCTCCATGGTGTAAATATACACATGGTCAAGGGCTGAGGTATTTTAAAATATAAGGCAGCTTTCTCAGTATGTAGAAGTTCCATGTTTTGTGTAAATAAATAGAGAAAGAAAGAAAGAAATGGATTCCAAGTATATATCTTGCTTTTACTTCCAGTAATGATCAAATCCATTGTTAGATTATTTGGCTGCCAGTCTCTGAAAATGTGTTGTATCCATGTAAACTTCAATACACTTTGTTTTGTAATGTTTTTATAATGCAAGATCAGACCATGCTCAGCCCTTGGTGGCTTTTTCCCTCCTGGAGGTCACTTTTTTTGCCCAGATTATTTGGCTTTATGTTAGTAGATATTTGTCCACCTTTCTTTTATTGCAGGTCCATTTGTACTTGGAGACATCAACAAGTTCCACAGTGGACCACTCATACAGTATATGTTGGTCAGTTTTTTTCAGCTTGAAACAAACTCAAGTCACCTGTGAAGAAAGAACCCAAAATTGAGGAATTGTCTCCATCAGACTGGCTTGTGGGCATGTGACTTAGGGTTGTTATTGCTGTAAGGAAACACAATGACATAAAGGCAGTTGGGGGAGGAAATGGTTTAGTTGGCTTACATGTCCAGATTACTGCTCATCATCCAAGGAAGTCAGGACAGGAACACATACATGGTAGGAACCTGGAGGCAGGAGATGATGTAGAGACCATGGAGGGGTGCTGCTTACTGGATTGCTCCCCATGGCTTGCTCAGCCTGATTTCTTATAGAACTCAGGACAACCAGCCAAGGGATGGCCTTGCCCATAATGGATTGGGCTCACACCCATGAGTCAATAATTAAGAAAATGTTCTATAAGCTTATCTACAGCCAGATCTTATGGAAACATTTTCTTAATTGAGGACCCTCCTCTCTAATTACTCTAGCTTGTGCCAAGTTGAGAAAACTAGCCAGTACATCATGTATATTATGCATTTTCTTGATAAATTATTGCTGTAGGATGGTCCAGCCCATAATGGTAGTGGTAGGGAATGTGTAAGAAAGCAAACTGAGAAAGACATGGAGTAAAAACCAGTGCAATTATCAGCAGTCCTGGAATGCCAAAATCCTTCTAGCAATCAGTCCAAGTGGAAAACACCATGTAGTACAGAACCTCAGGATTCATCTGGTGCATAATCCTAATCTTCTCATCCTGAATATGATAAATTGTATACATTGCTAGACCTAAAAGATGTCTCCTTTTTGCATTCCTTCAAACCCTGACTCATGGTAGCTATTTCTGTGTTATGTGAGATTGCATTCTTTGGAGTTCACCAGCAGTACATTTGGGTAGACCTCCTGAAAGGGTTCAGAGAGCCCCTACCTTTTATTAGTTCTTTGAAAAATTGTTATGGACCTAATTTTGCCCCAGGGAGTTATTATAAACATAAGGTGTATGTGATATTTGGTATGTATTCTATCAGGGTCAGAGTAGACGAAAATACCATTAGAGTCATAAACTTTCTGGCTACTTGTGCCTACTGGGTCTCCTAACAAAATCCTAGATAACTTGAAAGAAAACACTATATTCTGGACATATTTTTGACACAAAAATATCCTCAAGTTATAGTCATCATTGAAGTATTTGAACCAAAGACAACCTTAGATCCTTTCAACACATGACTGGATTTTGTCACATATGGATTCCCAAATCCAGATCAATATCAAAACACCTCTGTGAGGCCATGAAGTACCCAAACTATGATGAACTTTATAACTGGCATGGTCAACTGAAATGATCCTATAATAATCAGGTAAAGTGGAATTTCATGGGAGCCACAGCACTGAGCATGCCCAACATTCAGACACACTACTGGTTATTTATAGCAAGAAAAAAATCCCTAGGAATAAAACTGCAATTTATAGCCTCTTTTGCAAAGAATTGAGTTACTAGCTTCATCGAGGCTACTTCTTTTCCTAGTTTTATCTTTTTTCTCTAAAAACAAATGTATACTTTATACACATTGAATTTATCATACAAAATATATACAACAACATAACTTTGGTGTAGAGAAATAAGACTGCCAAAATATAACTGGTCATTTACACAAAATGTATTCTGGTTAACTTTTTCCAAGGGCTTCATCAATTAGCCGAACAGCAATGCTCTTGCCTTCATCTGTCTGGATCACAAGTAAAACTTCGAATCTGCCCACTGACTGCGGTCGGAAATGCACCGGGATGTGGATATAGTGCCGGGCTCTCAAAGAGTATTTGGAATGTTTGAAGTAGAAAGGTGCTCTCGGGCTCAGAAAATTTAGTGCATAAGTGAAAAAAATATTTCACAAATTGACTTTCAGTGTCCTGGATTCACCAAGTTTGGTTGGCAGGAACATGTAGACATCCTTTGGGGCATATACTCCACAGTGACTCAAGTCAAGCTTCCCAGGTATGTGAGCGGAGGCCTCGGGCACAGCACGCCTCTGAGACATGCCTGCAGGATCTACTTTAATGAGGGTATCTCTGGAGGAGCACCAGTCTTCAGGGTCATTTTCTGCTCTGATACTCTCTCCTGAGAGCTGGAATCTCAGGGTGTGTTTCATGTGAGGCTCTTTAGCAGGGTGGCACTCAACATCCCCAAACTGGCCGTAATCCCCTCTATCTCTGGGCTGAAACATGATGGAGACCTTTTGGATTCCATGGCCTTCCAGTGTTCCAGAAATGGGTGAACATCTGAATGCTGTGTAGGTAACTCTAAAAACATCCCCAGTTTCATCAACTCCCTTGACATATGGGGGAGCAAAAGATGATAGGTGTCACTTCACATTTGTGGGGCTACAGTTCTCCAGCTCCAGATAGTTCTCTGAAGTTTTACCAGGTTATGTTGGAGGAAAAATCACTGTCTTGCTTCTAATTTCAACTTTGGTGGATGGTGGTTTTGTTATTGGTTTTGTCAAATGACCATTGGAAGGCTCAGGTCCTGGGGCAAGAGGTCCAAATGTGCTCGAGGCCAAATGAGGTAAAGGTTCTTGATTCAAATCTTCTCGTTTTTGAACTTTTACCATTTTATTCTGTCCATTATCACAGTGTATATAGATCAAGCCAGTCCAAGGGAACATTGTTTTGTGGACAGGGAAGAATTGGGACTCACAAGAATTTGTATTTTACATTCTGGAGTGATAAATCCATGTTGTGGGGTGACTGTCAGGCAAAGCGCTGGCCAGTATAGCTCAAATTTCAGTACTCCAACAGAGTTATTTATAATATGAAAATGTCCAGTTTTTGCCATGTCACAAGAAGAAGGAGCTACCAGAATCAAGTATTCTGGATGGACAGCCCACCTTTCTTCAGAGGTTGGTGTACCCTGAGCAGGGTGGGCAATTTGTGATAGAAAAGGAAGACCTTGAGGGCCTTTAACTGGTAAAATATCCAAAGAGACATTGCCACTTTGCTTTCCAGAAGTTCCAGATTCACTCTCAGATTCCAACTGAGCACTGGAAGAAGGCTGAAGAAATTCTCTGCTAGAAATGGAATCTCTGAATTCTCCAATTACTGACAGGGTAATTTTGCGAATATCATTAGGCCACCGAGGAAGATGACATGCTTCATCTATGTGTAGCTCATCCTGAAATGCTTCAGCGAAATCGATGTTTGGCAGCACACTATGTTCTGGAAGTATCTGCTTTATGACTCCTGGTTTATGCAACAGTGCTC